AACTGAAGATTGGTACACTCCTAATTGAGATGGCTGTCCTCTTCCACTGAGCATGCAGCTTTGGAAGGGATGCACATGGAGTGGTGAGGGAAGAAGGGGACACTATCTAGCCAGTCAGATCAGCTGAATCAACCCTGGTGATCAATAGGGTGACAAATGTCACATCCAGGCTAAGAACTTAGAGACCTCTTCCCTAAGATATATAAAAGAGAACAGGCTTCTACAGGGACGATATTCAAAATTCAATATTAATATTTTTACATGATGAATTTTACACACATCCTGTGAGAAATGCTAACATCAGCCTCATCCTATGGCTCCCCATTCACAGGATAGATAAGCTTTGTATACTATATGTCTACTCTCAGTTTCTTTTGTTTATATGAAGTTAGGATATAGCTTAGTTTTCTGCATGTAAATAAATCTTCTGATTTCAGTGATATGTAAAAAGATTTGGAGTTTTAAATTGATTTTAGCAGGGAAAAAGTTCCAAAAAGCCTATTGGTAGCTATAGGCTATCCATTTCAAAGACTCTTTGCTTACCACCATATAGGAAGCTTATGCTGAGAAGGCTATCAATTAGAATTCTAGAAACAATATGGCAAATGGTAAGAAATTATTCACTCCGAACCAGCATCTGGCTCATTGGCAGACCCCAAAGGCAGTTGTGAAATTCCCAATGAGTCTGTGCAGTTGCCTATGGTAACACTGCAGATGGGATCTGTCCCTTTTTTCTCCTCTCTTCCCTTGCTTACTATGTTCCCCTCCATTCACTTTCATTTCTCCACAAGGCTTAGGCACGTTCAGTCAGTATTCCCACTTTACAAAATGTTATAGAATCCTCCAATATAAAAAAGAAAGGCAATTTTAGAAGCCTCTTTAACTGTTCTTCATAGGCAAGAAAAAATAAAATGACCTAAAAGAATACTTTATACTTTAGGCAGACCTTTCAGAGGAAAAGAGGCACTTCTTTGTTTCCACATTGTTGATATTATCACCTTAGCTTTTAGAAAAAAATGTTCTTAAATCACCCATCTCCTAGAGTTTTAAGCATATCCTTTTTCTCCTGATGGATTTTTCCAGCACCCATACTTTTCCAGCAAACTATGTCCCCTTAAGTAAGTTATCAAACACAAAAATATATTTAATACATTTATATTCATTTTTTGTCCCCAAAAGTCCAGTTTAGCTTTAAATATTCCTCGCAAGTATATTAAGGACTAAAAGCAAATGAATATACTACAAATCAAAACACCGCAACCACCCACAAACCTTGTATTCCTGTTCAGTGTAACTTCTCAGCTTCAAATATCTCATCTGAATATAGCATTATCTACTTTAGCTGTTTTTTCTATCCCAGAATAGTAAAAAGATGTATTTGCTGGCACTGTTTTTCCACTCTTATTTTTTAAAATCTTTTCTTGGAACTAGGAATACTCAAACATTTGATTTTCTTCCTTTTTTAAAAAAAAAATGTATTTTTTTGTTCCTCTTGGACTGTACATACTGAATGTGGTGTACATTCAGAAAACTGCTGCATTTCACAGTTCTTTAAATTCTGTGATACAGCTCAAATTATTATTTTTAAAACCACCTACACAAGTCCATGCTTAGTATAAAACATTGCTAAAATGCCTCCTTTGTGTGAAAATCTATTAAACATAGTTTCAATATGAATTTGTATATGAATTTGGCAGCTTACAAGAAAATTGGGATAGTACAGATGTATGAATAAAGGGATTAGAAATAGATACAAGCTAGAAATAGATTGATCCAGCCCTCTCTACAGAAAAATATTCAATTTTTCTGTAGAGATTGTTAGATAGGACTCAACAGATCAAATAAAACAAATGGATCTGGTAGACAGAACAAATTCTTTTTTACTTCCCACTATGTTGAAAGACTTACAACAGCATAGTACACTATCATTTGAATCTGACAATATGTCTTTCTTGTGAAGTTTAGCTTCAAGTCATTAAACGTTCACACATACTGGGCCATCTTTACACATTACTATTTTTCCTACAAGGAGAGTATTTTTCAAAATGGAATGGGTGAAGCAGCCTGTACTATGTTGACTAGGATTCAAACAGATGGCTTGAGTAAGTCCATCTGTCCTCTCCAGGATTCCTATGAGTAGCTATAGGTTATCTCATTTCAAAGAGATCAGAGTCACACCTTACAATACTATACAAAACTTCCTTCTTGGGTTTCCTGTTATTGTTACAAATAAAGTTGAGTAGCAGTTAGCTGCAGTCTCAAAATGGGGCTCTTCAGTCCTGCCAAAGAAGATAGAAACATAATCTTAGCCATATTCTGAAAAAAAGGTACTTCAAAATTCAGGTCAGAAAACAACAACTAATTTATGAAGGATGAATATTATTCATAAATACAGTGATAGACATGAAATAAAAATATACCTAAGCTAATTCCATAGAGTATAACTGGACAAGAATGTTTGTTTATTTGTCTAATATATTATGTTTAAAAAACCACCCATCTACCTCACAGAGAGACTCTGGACTGTGCACAATAAATATAAACTTTGTAAATCAGGAATATCAAACCTGATTTCATTGAGGACCGCATCAGTGTTGTGTTTTACCTCAGGGGGATGAAGACAGGGGGGCATGGCCATCTTGACATCCCTCATGTTGGGGCACCTGTGGTGACCAAGTGCTAAGGCAGGACTTCCCTCACACCCTCCCTCACTCTCATTATAATCTCCTTCCTTCCTCCCTCCCTCCCTCCCTTCCTTCCTTCCTTCCTTCCTTCTCTTCTTTTTCCTTCCCTCTTCATTCTCCTTTCTTCTTCCTTCCCCTCTTTCCTTATTTTTACTTCCTTGCTCTCTTCCCATCTTTCCTTCTTTTTCTTTGTCTTTCCTCTTTCCCTTTCTCCCTTCTTGTCTCTTCTTTCATGCTCAAATGCAAAAGAGGAAAAAACTCCTTTTGTTTTGTTTTGGTAGTCCTCTGCCAACAAAAACGGAGCCTGAGGGGGGCGTGCACCCCACCATGCTCCATTTTCACTGGCAGAAGCACCATGGGCCTGTCCTTTGCTGTTTACAGGGGAGATCTAAGCATCCCCTGGGCCAAATCCAGCCTGCGGGCCTTAAGTTTAACACCCTTGGTATAAATGATAACATATTATATGAATTATCAATGTGTGGTATGTAAACATTGTGGCAAATAAAGTTAGAAATAAATTTAGTTTAAATTGTTGTAATTTACCTTTAGTTCTAATTCTCTTTGAGGTTTTCCAACTATTTAAAAGTTTATTATAACTTTCACCTTTAGATCAATGAATGAAATAAAATTGTATATGTAATCTACCACAGAGATTTGAGGTTTTGAAAATTCAGACAAATGTAAGTATTGGGCATTTTTTTAAAAATCCAGCAAGAAATTGATGGTAAAATAGAAGGAAAGGAGAGAAAACATTTAAAAGGTAAGATAATTAAGGTAAAATTAAAATAATGAATTCACTAACTTCACCAAAGAGAAAATGAAATGTAATGGACAGAAAAAAATATCAAATTAGGAAAAAAATGAAATAGAAAAGATAAAAGAAGGACAATCCTACTGGGTACATATTAAAACTCTACTGACATTAATTCTTCCTGCCTCTTCACTGCCCTTTTCCCTATGCCCGTTTGTCTAGCCAAAAATAGTTTCCAGTTGTTATTGAAAACTATATTTTCAAAAGGAATGCCAGGCATTGAAAATTCTCATGCAAATCAGCAGCTACATATCATAATTTATATTTGATGTAATATAATATTTCAAACAAAAATTGAAAATGTTTCATTATGGCTCTTTTTTTGGGGGTTTCCAACTTCAAAAATTTTCAGAAACAGAACCACGTCTGAAATATACGGCTCTTCCACATTGTAACTGTAAACGGCTGTACTCCCTTGTGTAAACCAGTTGAAAATAAAACTGGCTTAAAAAATAGCTTTCTGGATTTCATCCCATCCTCCACTTTGGCCACAATGATTGATGTTCTGCCCAAACCATGATTACCACAGCTCTTGTTTGGTGGATTTCCCTGATTCTTTACCCCTCCTGGACCAGTCAATTAAAAAAAAAAGAAGCACGTTAATTTTGTTCTTTCTGCTATCACCAAGGCTAGAAGGGGAATGAAGAAGAATTTTTGTCAATTTCACATTAAAAAAAGAAATGTTCCATTTGTAAAAATCTGAACATTTTTTTAAACAAACCCTGTTTTTTACTTTTCCACATATGCAGTCGTAAAAAATATGATGATACAAATGGATCTGGCCAATGGACAAGATTGCTTTCTGCCTGTCCCTCTTCCACATTTATCATCTGCAAGCTGTACTGCATCAAAGGCACAGCTGAATTTCCTCCCCCTGCTTTTCCAGCTAGTTGTTTGATTTAGCAAACATATTCTAATAGACAGAACACTAATAGAATAAAACACTTCCTTACTCAACAGCTATTTAACTGGCAAAACTAAGATGGCACATGTAAGGACTTAAACTCCAGCTTTTACTATCAGACATCTTCTGCGTTTCCATTTCAGGAACCTAGCTGGGATTTGGCTATATCCACCCTCATTTCTTCAGAAAGATATTGAAACGTATATTGAGCCCTAGGATATTGGTAGGAGCCTTAGCCTGAAAAATGCCACTTATTGACTGGCCTCAAGTCACCCAGGCTCTAGTCCACTCTTAGCCATGAAAGCTCATTGGGTGGCCTTAATTTTCTCTTGGCCCAGCTGTGAGAAACAGACTCACCAGTCAGAAATTTGACAGAATCATAAAATGAAGCAGCAAGCAGTTTATTGCATGTAAAATACGTTTGTCAGGTTTCTAAAAGATGCTCTAATTGAGTCATGACTCTGGAGCCAAGTTTCAAAAGAAAACTAGTCATTTATTAGGAGCACCATTTGGCAAGACCTTATGCAGTCAGATCTGAGCCTTATTTGAATTATAGCTGAACTTTACCCCTGTTCCTTCTCTCCCCTCAGTCTGTGTCACAATCCCCAATGAGGTACATCCCTCCCAAACCTTCTGCAGTAATCTGAGATCCAATTCTAGCTGAAACTATGCATAGAATGAGCTCTCCCCACTTTCCTCACCAAGGCAACTTTATGAGTTGACAACATTCTTGCAAGAGCAGGTGGCTAACAGGTAGGCATATCAAAGAATACATTTCTTCAACTTTTTATTCCCTCCATCTAAACCACAAATCCTTCCCTGCAGCTCCCTTTGCCAATCTTTCCAGAATGCCTGTTTCTCCATGAATTTCCCCATGCTTAAACTGTTTTCTGATGCTTAACCTGTTTCCCCATGCTTAACCTTTTGCTCTTTTCCCCTTTTTTCCATACTACCTTTTGTCCTTTTTTTATTTCTTCACCTATATTTCTTGTTCCGTTCCCTTACAATCCTTGCAGCATAAGCGGTTGAGGCAAGTGGTTAATTAATTTCTCCACTGTATTACTAGACTCTGTAGTTAAAACTGTAAACTAATCTGCTTGACCAAGCTGACTCACTTATTTAGAATAACAGTCTCTTCCTGTTTCCCAGTGTTGGAAGAAATGTCCATCTGGGTTCAGTTCCAAGAGGGAGAAAAACACTGGAAACATGGAGACTGCTTGGAAAGATGGTTTAATGGTCGGCAGGATCACATGGGTTGAGATCCTTGGCAAATAAAAAAAAGGGCAGAGATGCTGAGAGTGCCTAGGTTTTATGCCTTCTCTGGGCTTTTGAATTTGAGCTTGCATTCTGATTGGTTGTCACACTTCCATGGAGCCATGCAGGGGTAACTTTGTAGGTTGTTTTTTGAGTCCCAAGATTGGTTGAGCCTGGGTAATGAAAGGGCTTTGGACAATTCCTATTATGGCTCTGCCTGAAGAAGGTACATCTTTGTTATGTGGAATAGACTTACCCAGGCCTTAATGGCCCATTGACAAAGGGGGGGGGGCTGTTTCTGCCTCCCTTTTAGGGGAAGTATTCTGCCCTTTTAATATTTCCTAAAATATCTCATTTTCCTAGGAGAAGGGTGGGTGCTAACTTCCTACACCAATCTTGAATGTTTATCTTTAATGCCCCAATGTCCTACTGAAATTTTAAACCCACATCTCTCAAAAATTGCTTTTTTTTTTTTCAAAAACAACACTATCTTCATTAGGCTCTTACACAGCCAACATCAAAGCACTGTTGATATGGCAAAAGCAAGTAGGAGGGGATACTCCATATATGTCTCCTTGAGTTCCTGAATGAAAAGTCAGGATATTAATCCAACAAACAAATGATTGCTTAATGATGAATTGGAAAGATGCTTAATTGTGGCCCTGTAATCCGGACAGGCCACTTAGTAGGTGGTTATGGATCCAAGAACAAAGATTCCACATCTCTGATTCAGAGCTTCATGACTATTATAACTTCCCACTAATTTCCCATCAGTTTGGGGCCAAATTTTCTTAATTTGTTGCTGAATTATGGGTTACTTGAAATCCTTCAAAGGATTTCTGTTTTTCCCAGATTCCATTTGCACTATTCTATCTGCTTGAATGCCAAGATCTGTAAAGTCATAATTTATAAAATTACGCTGGCAGTACTAATGGTATTCCTCTCCAAGAATGTATTTGCTGATGCATGAAGTGTTAGGACAAGCCTGTTTAATGACACAGATATATAAATAATAAAAGATTTCAGAAATTGATAGGAACCAGTCAATAAGCAAAATTGAGCCAGGAGAAAAGAAAGGGTCATTTTGATTCTGCTTCATTGCCAAAAGAACTGCTGACTTTCATAAGGAAAGTACAAATAAGATAAATATGAGATATAGAAGTCATTTTTTTCATTTTTATAAGATATATAAATAGAAATCCATGCATAACTTTAATAAATGTATTGCCGACACAGCAAATGAGGTGTAAAATACAGAAGAGCTACTTTGTAATAATATTCATTAATACTTCAGTTAAATCAACAGACTATGAAGGAAGGAGAAAGCAGGGGAAATATAAAATGTAAGTATTTGGGAATATTTAAAAAATTCCCATCTTTCTTAGTACTAGCATTTGATTTTTCCACAGTTATGAGTCAGGCATAAGGAGAACTACATCATGTTAACAGCTGAGCTAGAAAGGACCACAGGGTGCACCCTTTTAGTTTCAAGCGAGAGCAGAACTGTCATTCTTGCTTTGTGTCTTCTGCTGTTTTAAGAGCCCCAGTGAACATAGTGTTTGTATCCACCCCCTCAAAGCACTTAATTTTCACAGGTTATTTTGCTCTCTCACCAACTTTCACTTCCTTATTAAAAACAAAAATAATATGAAGCTAAAGGCATGCATCTAGCTCTTTACGTCTGGTCAAAGAGTTGGAACAAATATTCTCTTATTTCTCCTGGAAATAATTAATTTCACCAAGAGAGTGTGTATACTCTCTGTTTCACTACCTTTGTCCTGATATCTCATTGGTTACATTAGCTTCCCAGATTTTGGGAGTTTCAGGTGATTATTTAAATTCCAGTATATCATCTGCATAATTTTAAGGCCAGGACAACTGATATCTTCCGCATATGCTGAGTTCAGAAGTGGAAAGTTCACACTATCAATAGAGTCAGATAATCATGCTATAACAGCTGTTTACAAACTCATCAGATTTCCATGTGATCACAGTTGTCTTCCCAAGAAGCCAGGATGTGTCAGCAGCCAGTCAGGAACATGGAGTTGTGATAGTAAAATATGTTATTTAGCTCTTGGCCAGATTCTATTAAAAGCAGATGGCAAACTGATATCATCATAGAACTCAAGGTCACCCAATGGAACTGATTGGCAGTTCAGAACACACAGAATAAAACACTTCCTCACCCAAAGCATAGCCATGGCCATGAGATCTAGCAATAACAATTTCCAGGCAGTTTTAAAATGGATTTATCCAGGGCATGTTGGGTAGGACTATGAATAGTTGCTAGAAACGCTGATTAAACAGAGCCTCCATGATCTAAATATTAGTTGCTGGAGGGATAATGGCAGAATGGTGTTTATGCCTGACTTGTGGACTTCTAGAGGTTTATTATGAGGAACAAGATATTGGAGCAGATGGGACCTGGGTGTAATGAAATACAGTACTTCATTATAGGGAGCCAGGCTTTGAAGACTACATTGATTTGCCAGATGGTGGACCACTATGTACACATGTGCATATATGCATCTATACACAAAGGCTTTGCCATCATGCTCCCTGACAATTTTTAAATCCAATTCTCCAATTTGATAAAGATGCTTACCCAGCAGTCTTGCTACCAGAGGCAAGAATAGTAGCAGTACCTGAAATAAACTGCACAGATCCAGGTCTTATAGCAACACATTTCATTTAATTAAAATGATGCAAAGATCTAATGGTTGCAGTTAAAGGGAAAGGAACTTTGATTCATTCTGCTGCCCATCTCTTTGTGATTCTAGCTTGAGACAGATAACCATATTTTAACGGGGTGGAATAGGTTCAGCCCAACCCCTCAAGCACAAATGCTATCCAGATGTAATACAAATCATAAAAAGGAAGATAGGTGGAAGTAAATTCATGGAAACTTCACTCCATTTCATACATAACTAAAATTAGTTGCCTGCCATGTACTGTTAATATGGGCAGATTGAATATTATTCTTTTCATTTTTGTTTGTCACCCATCTTTTTTAAAGGATTTTGGCAATAAGGAGTGAAATGGATACTTGAAGCATCCATTTTCATTTCAATTTCACCCAAAATGGCTGCTTTTGCCATGGAGAAGGGAGACTATGGGGAAATCAAGCCTATGCAAAGTGTAAGGCATGCATTTCTCATTATTCCTCCCAAATCTTCCCAAACACAAGCGGGAAAATATTTGCTTCATCCACTCTAATGAAATCATGACATCACTAACTTGGCCTTTGTGTCCTCTGAAGGAATCATTCCCCCCACTTTTAAATAACCATTCTTGGCCACAAAAAATACCTACTATTCTGGTCCTTGGCATGTTTGGTAGGAGGGCTTTCCAGACACAAAGGAACTCAGTGAGTTGAGAATAGTAAACACCCAAAATTTATAATACATACCTGAATCCTCCACAAAGTAAATTTTCACAGTAAAGGATCATTGACTCAAGATATGGGAAAGTGGTAGAAAGCCAACAATTGAGAAGGGATTGAGAACTCATGTTTATCTACTCCCTTTTTCTCAGATGGTATCAGGAGTGAAAAAGCTATTCCAAAATGAGCTGTTCCCATTCTAATTTTTCAAATCGTTGCACCTAATATTCAGTATTAATAATTGTGCTTTATTTGCCATTACATTTTCAAGTTAGTTTTTGCCAGATGAGCTAATGTGAAATGTTTCCCACCACCCCTATCACTTTTTGGCTGAGGGCTGATTATGTTTCAAGCATAAAATTAGTATGAAAAATATTTCTTGGATATATGTTCCACTAAGCTTTGTGGACCTTCTGAATAAATGTGGGGCAGTCCTGCATATCTTCCAAATTCTAGATTCAGGATTGTCCAAAGTTTATGGTTTAAAAAAAATCAAGGTGATGACCACAACAGGGCATTCGAAGTTCTTCATGGTTTAAGTTGTAATTAATAAAAAAAATCAGAGGGAACTTCAATTGCATCATCATGAGTTCCATCTTGATTTTTTTTAATCACTTGCAGAAAATGAAAATAAAGTGGCAAGGGAATACTCTTCTGTGTTTGTGACATACACCACAATATAGTATAGCCAGATTTGCATCAGCAGTCACCTGTACTTTGACAAAAATGGCATTTAGAGGTGGAAAAACCAGATGATAAGTTCATTATTTGCCTGTGGGTGAAGAATTTCACATTGTGAAATGTCTCTGAAATTTTGTATACAATATTTCATTTTGTATCACCAGTTTACCTAATCCTAGTCTCTTCATTGATAAATGAAGATATATTGCAATAATCTGATAGAAAGTAAAGAAAAAAACACTGCTTTAAATTTCCACCCACTTTTTCAAAGAATCCTTTATCTTTAATTGGTTTAGACCCCCAAAATGAAAGATTCAGCTAAGAAGAAAACTAAATTTGATTTGATTTCATTTACATTTAATTATAATTCAGTATAGTTAATATAATTATTTTAGTCATATATTTAACCTTTTCCTCTCCTGTTTCATTAAAATTATATTTTGGTATTAACTACTACAGGATTTTGAGAACAGTACTTATTTTATTTTTTAATTCAAAACATTTATATAGCCACCCATCTTACTGTATATTGACAAGAGTAGCCAAGGATCTTAAGACTCACAAGATTCACTCAGACTTAATTTAAATATTTTAGAATTATGGATTATATTCTGGTTTTGGTGTCTATTAAAAGTGCTTCTCCTTCTGGGGGAACTGTGCACATAAATTTTTATCAATCCTTTCTGTCTAAGTAAATTAATAGCCAATATTCCATACCATGCTGTAATTTCTTCCCACTTTCCTGATTAAATATATACAGGAGGGGCAGGGATACTGTAGTCAGTTCTCCATTAGTCAGTTCTCCATAGCAAGCAGGGAAAATCAATGCCTGCATTGCATGTCTGCAAAACCACTACTGGATATGACGCAGTCTGCTTCTGAGATTTGTTTAACATAATGTTAACACTTTTCCTGTATATAACATCTTCCCAACCCACCACTTTACATTTTCATCCAAATACTTGGACCACAAAACAAGACAGTCAGATTGTATGGCTATGAAATAGATGGATGTTTAAAAACCCTCTGAAGTGGCTCTTTTCTACAGCACCAATAAGTGTTCCTTGCCAGAACTCAGCAGCAGGTTCAGTGAACAACTGAGAATATTCAAGCAAACATTCACTTCTCTCAGGCTTCCTTTGATGCTGGATCAGATTCTCTCTTGGACTTCAAGATCCTAGCACCTCTTCTGCTATTAGCTCCAACTGATGATGAGCTACATCTGGCCTGTGAAATGAAAACAGCAAAACCTTTGATTCCATCCAAGTGAAGTAGATCTTCAGCATCTGCTCAGTCAACATTTGCCAGGATAGATGATACCCTGTCAAAACTTTGATCATTTCAGAAGTAGAATTCCATTTTTTTAGACTACATTTTCAATATGTTGAAAATATGAGAATATCTACCACTTTACATAAGGAATATCCCAGCTTCTTTTTATGTATATTCTTAAGCTTAACAAATGTAAAGGAGAAAGAGTATAAATCGTTTAGTTGAAAAATCTGGAGAAACCATTATTTATTTGTAAGAACTACCCTCTCTAGAATCTCCCCTTGCCTTCTTTCACCTAACCTCCATGCATGCTTATCTTTATCCTTTTGTCACTTCTCTTGTGCCTGTAGCCTCTTCTTCTGCAATCCTTCCTTTTTGCGCAGCCTAACTTTCTGTCTTCCATGACCCAATGTATTTTGTATGCTCAGCATCTTTCAATACATCTGCTACTTGACTCTCTCTTTCATTCACCCACCCACTGTATATTCTTAATCTCTGCCTGTTCCACTCAAACTAAATATTACATGCCTCTAGAACAACTATTACATTTTCCTCACCCACCAAACGTCTTGCACAAATTATTCTTATAGTCATGGTGGGATTCCAATTTTTTTTACTACTGGTTCTGTGGGCGTTGTTCTATAGAATCCATCCCAAGGACTTGGGATAGGCAGATGTTATTGTTTGATATTATTAAAGGTATTATTACAAGATGTAAGTTCTTTTAAGTAAAATTGCCTTTTGTAATTGAGTGATGATGATTTTGTCAATGCTGATGATATTCTACTGGTATTCCATTTGGGGGGGGGGATTGCACCCAAGGCACCTATTACTATTTGTATTATTTTTGCTTTCTTTTGCCACAGTCATTTGATTTTTATTGTTATAATTATGACTGTGATTAGTTGCATAATCTATCAGTTTAAACTTCTTATTATTTATTTAAATGTATATGCCACCCAATTCCTAGCAACCCTGGGCTCTGCATTATACTCTATATGGACCTGGACTAGAAATTGAAAGATCAGTGATGCACTAGAACTGGCTTATACCACTTGTGAGAGCCAATTGTTACATTTCCTGGAATTTTAAAAAGCTTGGGTATAGCAGAGTTGAGCCTCAGTACCTGGAGCATCAATCAGCTAATCCACATCTAATGGCATAGTAGCAGCAGTAGGAATCAGCAGGAATCAGTTCTTAAACATTACCGGTACCAACACTGGCAGAGGCCCAGATTCTAATTCTCCCTTAGGCTTGGAAACTGAACGGGTGATTTTAAGTCCTTTCTTTTAGGCCTACTCTGGAAAATTAAAAGATCTTTTTCTACCGAATCCTTCAGAACTAGTTTATAGATTACAGTCCAAAACCTTCAGAAAAGGGACCTTCATCCGGCAATGTTTTGATATGCACACATGGTTTGATACGTACAGAGCAAAACAAACCAGGAATGGAATGGAGTGGAGTAGCATGGAATGGAACAGCATGGAATATAATATCCTAACTGGAATTCTAAATTATTATTCAAATATTTAGTGTTTAATTTTCAATTTGTTGGTATTATTTCTAATTTGCATTATGTTTACCAAACGTCAGAGTCTGGTTGGCTGGAGGTTACAATCTCTGTGCATCTCCCCACAATTTGTCCTTCCAATTCAGGATTGAGGTCATTGGCAGAGTAAACTGAGAAAGGGAGCATCTGTTTCAAAAATACCTGGCCTGTGTATTGATTCAGTAACACACTTTTGGTTGCTGCCAATCTCACAACCTTCATGGGCACAAACACAAACCAAACCAGAAAAGAAATCAAACATGCACAAAGGTCTGGTTTAAAACAAACATTCAGTTCAGCTCTGGCTCCTGCCAAATAAGATTCAGGCCAAGAAAAGATAAAGAATGCCCATTTATACTGAAAACATTCAAGGACAACTGGGGGCAGCAGCTCTATAGGACAATATGATCTTTCCCTTTTAATTGTAGTGAAGACAAAGTACAGTTTTTCCATTGGTTTAGCCTCTTTCTTAAATAAAGATATTTTATTTCCATTTGCACCTCTATGAGATTTCTTAACATCCTGGAACAGAAAATTAATTGTGTTGCTCTCTTTAAAATACTAGCCTGGAATTGTGTTCCATATAATCTACCACTCATACAGAAGTTTTGTCTATATATATTCAATATACAGCTTTCACTGCCTGGGAAGCTGTTGTCCCTTGACAGCAAATGATTATCCCAAAGGATTTCAAGGCTCTGGAGAGGCTGCTTCTCTTGGGCTACCTGTTTTGGCTTGCCTAAGCAACATTGATAGCCATATGTCAAGCTGTAGGAAAACAGATGCTGTTTTTCCATTTGTGAAATCAAGTTGTTGGAAACTAGTCAGATTCCCGATATATGAATGGCTCATCTAATCAACCTCCATGGAGATAGTGTGAGTTCTTTTCCAGAAATATTTGACAACATTTCCTACTTGTGGCAAGTAGGACAATATACAAGTGAGATGGAGGCGGATGGTAACTATTTTATTCCAACCATCACATTTAAAAAAAAAAAACAACCCAGCAAATGACATTCTTAACCTTCACAAAAAAGATCTGTGGCTTGGTTTCTCATTGCCAAGATCGCTTCGGGTAATAATCTCTACAAGTGCTTTAAATTTAATGAAAACATCTTGATTGTTAGATAATAGCCTCTCGTATTACATTTCTCCTCATTCCTTGGCACAATATGTTGATTAAAATACAAATCACACACACAATTAGACAAAAGAAGATGTATTTTTTTTGTCTTACATTTTAATGTTTTTTAAAAAATATAGGTTGTTGAAAAAATATGTTTATGCGTGTTTGAATGGGAATTAGATTAAGACAGAGAAAACCACAATGAATAATAATCATTTTTCCTATATCTTTACCTACCCACCCCTTAAGTACAAGAAACCATTAAATTAATATTTTCCTTTACTTAAGCTGCTGATACATACAGTAGCATTTATTTATGTAAAACACTTATGTGGCTTCCCATCTTATACACAATAATACTGGATGGCTCACAACAATATTAGTAAAACAAAATATATATATAAAAGAGCAATACACAATATGAAAAACACATTACATCCCCTCAATAACAATGCTTTCATCAAACAGTTCTTGTTTTGACCTAGGCTTCACCAAATCATGAAACAGACTCCTTGTCCCCCCAAAAAACCCTTTTTATTTGGCCAATGTGAATTCCTAGCATTCACATTCTCATTCTCATTCACAAAGTCCCTGCAAACAGTCTTTCAAGGGTGAATTGCAAACACAGACCTTATCAGTCCTTGGATAGTTGCCAGGTCAATAGCTTTCAGACTCAGACTGTACAGACTGTAGAAGGAAATACTTGGCTAGGAGTCTCTCAGATAAGCAAATCGTCACACTAATGAACTAATTGTCTCCTGCAAACACCACTCCCCTTTTCCTCCTATTTATTTCCTATGGGAGGGGCCACTCAGCTTCCCCTTGTGCCTTTATTCCTAAATCGACCTCTGTTCCTTAATTGTTCCCTTCTCCTGACAGGTCTGTGCAAGTGCGCATTGGGAACAGGCTCCAACTGTTCTTCAGCCCCACTTATCTCTGACTCCAAAAGTAGCTGATAACTGTCAAACAACCCTAGCCACATCTCTGCCTCCGGTGCAGAGCACTCATCAGAGCCTTTCCCTGACTCCAGGACTTGCCCATGTTCCTCCTCAACCTCCTCACTGCTCCTCTGGCCACTGGAGCCACAGCAGTTATATCCTATGTTTGCTGGATTCTATTCTTAACACAATGCCTGGGGGAAGATCCAACTTTTTGTGGCATTGCAGAAGACTTCAGTATTGAGATCTTCTCAACCTTAACCAAGAGGCTTTCCACAGGACAGGGAAAGGTACAGAAAAGGCACACCTCTTGGTACCACCATATAGCAACATTTAAGGGGGGAAACAAGAAGTACACCCATCCCACCAGGTCTGCCTGGAAGGCAGACACCCCAATGACGAAATAGTCCTGCAATTAATCTGATTCTGTGCCATGTAGGGTTTAAACATGATAACCAGCAACTTGAATTGTACTTGAAAAAAGTCTGGGATCTAAAGCAACTCACACAGCAGCTGTAATCTGGACAAGCAACAGGGTACCCAGAACTCTGCTCATTAGTGCGTTCTGGAACAGTTATAGCATCTGGATGGTCTTCAAGGAAAACCTCTGTACAATGCATTACAGTAACCCAATAAAGAAGTGAACAGAATGTGATTGACTATGAGTAATAGGTAATTGGTGCACAAGATAAATTTGTACAAAGACCCCACTAGCACAGTGCCATCGGGTCTTCAAGCAAGAGCTGCAAGTCCAGGACGTAAGTCCTATAGTTTCAAATTACATGCTATCTTTGCTTGAGGAAATGCTACTCCATCAAAAGTCTAAGATAATATTTTTCCAGATATAGAAATGCCAAAACCACAAAGCCACTCTTGATAGGATTGAGTCAGGATTGGTTTCTCCCCATCCATGCCCTCATAACCTCTAGATACTGACTAAGCACCTAAATGACATTGCCTGACCAGCCAGGGGTGAATATATATAGCTGGATATCATTTTAGTATTCTTTCTATTATTCAATGTCATAGCACAGAATTAAGATTACTTAGATGCTTCTTTATGTAATTTTTAAGTATTGCCAAAGCTAGGATTAAGGACTTTGTAATGAATCCTTATAGTTTTAATCTATTGTAGCAAAATGGTTCAAGGTTCCAGTAATATTTATGAGATCCAAAGATCTGCATAGAAATCATACCATATAATATAGATAGACAAAGCACCTTTACAAAACATTTGCATAGACAGCTGAGTGAACACAATGAACATGTAATCAAAATGTAATCATATTATTAGACTCAACGAAGAAAGTGTAAGAACCCAACACTACAAGGCTAAGCATTGGAAATTATATGATTACAATACTTATTCAACCAAGAGTATTTCCATATGGCACCATTTTCATACCCCAATGATCACCTTCCCCCCAGAATTTTGTAGTTGGCTATGTAATCTTCTTTATTCCAGCCAACTTTAGCTGAAGACAGGCAGGGAACACAATAAACTAATCTGAGCAACCTTCAACCAAGCAATACAAGACTGCAAAAACCTTTGTTTGGTCAAAATCAAATGCCATGAGATATGACAATTCTTGGAGTAGCAAAACCAACAAAAAGGGAAACTTTGGCATACATTCTGTTTCATTAGTTTACAAAACAAGACAAAAAGATGAACCCTTTATATTGATATAAAGAGAAAAGTGCATGGCCATCAAGACATCAATTTTTCTTGCAGATAAAATCCTACAGATAGTTTGGCTGATGGCAAGACATTTTCAGGAAGTGCAAGACCCTGATTCAAGTTTACAAAAACTAAGAGGAAGGCTGAGAGAAGAGTCAAGGCACTTGACTCTTACTTAAGCAGTGTAATTCAACTGAGTAGTTTTCAAAGAGTGACTAGAAACCAACTAGAAGGATTAAGTTTAAAGTCAGTGATAAACTCCAAGTTTAGGTGGCAGAAGAAAAGATGAAGCATTGTGAAAGCAGTTACCCATAAAACTCCAGCCATCCAAAGACCATACCTAGAGTATTGCTTACAGTTTTTGTCGCCACACTATAAAAAGATGTTGAAACTCTAAAAAAATACAAAGAAGAACAACCAGGATGGTTAGGGGACTGGAGAGTAAGAACGGTTGCAGGAACTGGGCATGGCTAGTCTAATGAAGAGAAGGACCAGGGGAGACATGATAGCAGTGTTACAATATTTGAGAGGCTACCACTAAGAGGAGTAGGGACAATTTATTTTACAAATCACCTGGAGGCCAGACAAGGAATAATGGATAGAAACTGACCAAGAAAATAAGGAGGAACTTTCTGACAGCGAGAACCATCAATCAATGGGACAGCCTGCCTTCGGAAGTTTGGGGAGCTTCATCACTTGAGACTTTCAAGAAGAGATTGGACATCCATTTGTCAGAAATGGTGTAGGGTCTCCTGCTTGCATCGGGTATTGGTCTAGATGACCTATACAGCCCCTTCCAACTCTCTTAATCTGTTAATTGCAAATGGCAGTTTTTCCATTTCAGCTGTATTACAGTCAAGCTAGAAGAAAATCAGCTCGGAGGCAGGCAATGACTTATATT